CTACTAGGAGCAAGGACGCTACTAGGGGCTCCTGGCCGTACTACTAGTAACAAGAACGCTACTGGAGCAAAGGGAAAACGTAAGACATACTACGACCGACGACCATCTACGACTACAAATACCCCCACTTTTTTCAGTGACAGTCCACATCAGAAACGATCGCAAGGGACACAAGCTGAAACATCGTTGAACAAACACACTGGGGGAGGCCTCGGCCTTCTGCCAACCCAATGACCATGGTGGACCGTGTGGGGGACCATGGGTGGACCAAGTTTCCTTGGACTCACTGATTGGTGAGGGGCTCAACCAAGGGACTTGCAAATCCTGGTGAACTTCAAGGCGTTGCGCACTTCCACGGTCGCCATGTTTGCGAGGATGTTTTGTTTGTTTTCGCGGAGGGTGCACCGGCTCTTCAGCTGACGCTTTTTTTGAGAGCAAAAGGCTGGCTGGAAAAGAAGAAAACATGGAAATGCATGAGGCAGCCAAAACCATTCCAGTAGTAGTAGTTTATAGCTTCGTCATGGTGGATGTCTGGATTCCACTTTCATATTTCAGCAATTCCAATTCACAAACTTCAAACATGCAGTATAGGTTGGAATAGGTACTGTACCAGTACGGTTTTGTTTTGATGAGATAATCACACAAATTGCATGCAAAGGCATCTGGTTGGTTCACTGTTGACCTCTCCGTGAATCCGGGTAATCGTTGAAGAATCTCTGGCCGCTCGTCCTGCACCTCTGCGCTCGTCTGCGCTCATGTGTGAGAGAATCCATCGTACACGGTGCTTCATGATGGGTGGTCAACCGGCACCTCAAATGGCTCATAATGGCATGTAATTTTATACGATAATTGATCAACATTGTACAAAGTCCATGTAGCTCTCTGCGACCCATGGATTGCTGTAAAGGCAGTTGGTGGGTGAGTTAAAATCTATTCAAAATAATTGGATATAATTGGGTACAAAAATAGAGTAAAGAAGTCTTTGGTGCTGTTCCCTCCCCTCTCCCTCCATCCGGAGCCGAGGTGCCATGCTGGGGAGGTGCAAAAGCTCATCGAAGGCATCGAAGGAAGTCGCCTGACAGTTACGGGCAACCGTATTTGGAGGCCATCGCTTCTAGGAGGTCAAGAGTCAAGAGATACACCACCCAACGGACCCAAGAGAGATCCGTCCGTTTGCGATTCTCAAGATGTTCAAAGACGGGCGTCGTCCGGCGTCCGGACGGAAAAGGAAAGGTTTTAACTCCAAAAATTAATGTACATGTTCATCAACAGAGTGGTTGTTATCGCTGGAAGCCAAGGAAACCATGGCCAAGAGCAGGCTGTGGTTGTGCCCATCGCCCATCGCAACACTCCACTCCAAAAACACGTGTGATGTGCGACATCTCGTGCTGCCTCTTGCATGGCCGCCTGCAAGACGGCACACCAGATTGGCACAGTCTTACTCCTGGGAGGTCAACAGGCAAGGCTCCACGAGAGAGGCTCCGCTCCACGAGGTTCGAAGCGGATGAGTTGTGACGACCACCGCCCTACCACCGTTGAGAACCGAGCCGTGACGACTCCATCCTTTGTTTTCCGGCTTCCCCACCGAGTCAGAACGGCCTTAACGGGCGCTGATTGAACATCCAGTTTCTTTGCCCAAATTCTGGATTATAATTCACCAAATGACAAGGGACAAAAAAAACAAAAACACTGACTAATGACTGTAGAAATACGGTTACACTTTGTTAGAGCTGCAAAAAAAACCGTGTGTGTGTGTCAACCCCGCCAAAGGGTTCACTGCCAACTTCTACCTTTTTCACAGCAGGGGG